CATTTAAAAAAAAAAAATCAAATTCTTTCTTTCTTCTTGCCAGCACATTTTTAATGCTGATTTCAGCCACTCATTTCTTGTGAGCTGATTTAATCAGAGAGAGCTGGATGGATCAGCCTTTGCTAGCAAAGGAAAAGGCTCAGCTCACACCCTGTGGGACAGCTGCTCTGCCACAAGTCCCTTTGCTCCAGGAGAGCCCGGCAGCTGCAGCACCCACGGGCTGGATGTCCCTCAGGGATGCCTGGGCCCCTTCCCTGCACTGAGCTGTCCTGCCAGAGGCAGAGCAAGGCAAAGCCACCATGGCTGACCCTGCTGAGAGCAGGAACCTCTGGGTGCTGCATCTGGCAGCAGCTGAACCAACACTCTCAGGTCAGATCCTTTTCTCACAGCTGGGAAGTGAGGAGCTCTCACCAGGGAAACACTGCCTGGGACTGCTCCCACCTGCCACACTGAAGAGGAAGCCCAGCCCTGAAACAGCACAGGAGAGCACAGCCTGAAGCAGGACCTTGCTCTCAGGGTTTATTTGCAGCTGCTTTCCTCTGTGGTCCTCTCCCACAGGGCCAAGGCTTGGAGCTGATGCAGGTTAACAGGCTGGCAAAGGGACACTGTGGAAATGTCAGAGTGGGGCAGAGGCAGAAGAAAGCTGCTTTCTTAAGGAAGATGCTGATAGCATCAGTGCAAAATATTTGCCTGAAACTGCACGAGGTGTTTCTCAGGAGCCAGCTGGACACCCCTGCTGGGGTGTCTCTCATTTCACAAACCAAACTGGACTAGAAAGGTGTGCACAGAGCCTTTCTGTTACTGAAGCCTCTGTGCACTCCTGATTGCTGCAGATTCAGACTTGTGCAAAACCAAGCTCAGAGATTCTTTATCCTCCCCCATCAGCCAAGCCCTCAAGACAAAGGGAACCATTTACAGGTGTGGCTATTTTCAGTTCTGTCTTGATCCCTCTCTGGCATCTCCCAGCAGTTTACAGGTGTGTGCAAGCTGTCAGTGGCACCTCTGCAAAACCCCTCCTCGGGCCAGGATAAAAGACCACACATGATCTACACTGACTCTTAGCAGAGATCCAACAGCTCACAGCTTTTCCAGCAGACATATCCTTCAGTTCTGCTCCAAAGAGAATCAGTATTCCTGAGGTTACTTCACATTCTCAAGACCTAAAGATCAGTGAGGACATTAGAGAACATATAGCTCTGGAACAAAGAGGAGAAATTCAGTACTCAAGCAGATCAGATCTTTTTATCCATTCTCCTGGTAAAAATGTAAGAGGAAAGAGAATTTCTTCTTCTGTTATTTTTCTTTTCCAAAAGATTAACTGTGTCCTTAATCTGCATTATTGATCAGAAGGGCTGTTTCACTGACACAGAAATGTACAGACAGAAAATACTGTGCCTTTGTGAACTCATAAACAGCCTCCACTTCCAAAAATTCCTTAAGAATCCCCTGGGACTGGGAAGAACTCAGGTCTCAAGGTTTATGGTTTTCATGCAGCCTTGGCACTGAAAACCAGCTCAGGTCCTTGGCATGGTTCTGGCTCAACACCACGTGTGAAAGGTGTGGAAGAAAAAGCAGAGACTGAGTAACTGTGGTGCTACTTCTGAGCTTTTCTGGTTCTCAGAGTCCTCAAGGATGGCACAAGGTCACTGCAAGTGCATTCCACTGGGAACCTGGGGATGCTTCATGGGGTGATACCAATCCACTGGAACACAGCAAAGCAGCACCCATGGCAAACTGGAATGTCATCCCTCCATCC